CCCCAAAACCCCAAAACCCCAAAACCCCTAAGGAACTTTTAAATTTGAAAATACTTAAAAATAATTAAAAATCTTTGAAAATGTCAAAGCAAATACAGTCTTTTGCAAGGGATCCTGAAGACTTCACAGAATTCGTACACTTAAAAATAGTTGATTTCAATCCGAGGCCTGAACATCTAGATCTGGAAGCATACTGAAAATTATTCCACAACGGTTTCCCGATCCTGGAGCTTCCTGACAGAGAAGTTGATGAATACCTGATTCAGTTTAGAAACTCAGATGATATAATTAAGATTGAGGTATGGGCTAATGACGACCAAGGTAAGTAACAATCGTTGCTCTTTAGTTTAAGGTCTACTAATATAGAGAAAGTCATCTTTATTGGAGCTGTCTCGATTGCTATGAGCTTCTGGAACTGCATTGAAAGTGGGCAAGTTAGGCAACAAATTATATACCTTGAACCGAGAAATGACCTTATACTCACAGAAGATGATTATGGATACCAGTGCTTGGAGGAAGCTAACCTCAAAATTGCATTCAGGAGTTTTGATTCAATGAATGATAGATCTTTAAGAAAAATCATTAATACAATGGATCAAACTTCTATGAGATCTTTTGATGACTATTTAGCAACTGATCAAAAGACCAATAGCCACTTCACACCAAATAGACTTGGAAGAAATGACTTTAATACTTCAAAACATGTTAAATTTATTGATTTTCACGCTGATAATTCAAAGAAACTTAGAAGGAAGATGGAAAATACACAAGCTTTACCTTCCAAGCATTCACTACTAACAAATCCAGCAGAGGAAATAGAATTTCAAAATTATGATCGAGGAGGCAATTCAATGATTCATCATAGTCCTGACGAAAACTTCACTCCTGTGTCATTGGGGAGGAAATCTCCTGCAAGAGTGCACGACAAAACAACTATTGAGATAGTTGAAGAAAGTCTCAACACAACTGAAGATGAGATGATATCAAACATCGCAAGAGCTTCTGCTACCAAAACTTCTGCTGCAAGGGCTTCTGCAGAAAGAGCTTCTACGACCACCTCTCAAATTACCCCACAGGAGAAGCTGGTCAGAAGCATAGAAAATGAGCATGAAGTTCAAAAGAATTTACATAAGATTACCCTTTCATTCGCCCAATCAGTTGAAGACTATCAAAACGATACAGAAGATATTCTCAAGCAGCTGGGAGAACTAGAGAAAAAGCAAGACAAATTCTCCAAAAACTGCCAACTCCACAAGGCAGTCTACCTTGGCATGAGCAAAGGTGAGGTCTTGCTCCCTGAAATAGAAAGAGGGTTCCAAGAAGCCAATAGTGAGAATCTGATCGACATTCGAGATCTTGAAGACCTCAAGAAGCACAAAGAAAGGGAGCTAGATAAGCTCGAAAAACACCTAGATGATACCAAGATGGTAAATTTTAAACTTAAGAAAGAGCTTACAGAAAAGCTCCCTAATAATGATGTTGAGGTATATCAAAGTACTAGAGAGGTCTCTAAGAGGAATAGAGATGCATTACAGCCAATCATGGGCGAGAATGAAATGATGAAGATCAAGCTTGAAGGCTTACAGCAGAAGAGGAGAGATATCATATTTGATCTCCTCAGTTCAAACCAACTACCTCATGGTTTTGAAGATTTAATTAACAAACTTAATGAAGAAACTGAACGAAATTTGTTTTTAAAATAAGAATGCACTTGAGTTAGAGATCACCGTTCAAGCTCTTCAAGAGTCCTATAATGGCCAGAAAGAGTACTTAGAAAATCTCACAGAGCTTTATGGGAATTATGAAAAGCTCCTTGAAGAGACTGGTCTCCAGATAGGCAGGGATCTACTTGATGTTATTGCAGAAAATGAGAAATTAGATCCTCAAGGTAAACCGATTATTAAATATTATGAAGTGTATTAATTCTCACCTCTTTATAGTATACAAAGATCAGCTTGAGTTAGAAAGACAGAAAATTCCCACTGATTATTCAATCTCGCCTTCAAAGTTCAATGACAAATATGCTCTTGAAGACAAGATTATCACTCTCTCTTCTAAAATAAAAAGTGAGTTCAAGTCTCAGTCCTATCTCACCCCACCAATCGACGAGATCTCTATTGATCTTGAGGTAGAAGAAACCTTACCAGAGTCTGTCAAATCGATACTAGAGAAGCTCTCAGAAGTCAACTCTCAAATTCATCTCGCTAAAACATCTTTGGAGAAGGTCACAAGAGAGAAGCTCATTGTTGAGAATAAGAAATAAGTTGACAAGAGCTCAATCTTCAGATCTGAAGACTCTCAACAATTTATATACAAATGTCCTGAAGTCCAAATCTGAAGTAGATACTGAGCACTTCTCAACAGCTGAGAGGATCTCAGCCAAGGAGGATCAGATCTTCAAGCAAGAATTGGAACTGAAAAATCTAAACAAGATCAGTAAAGAGCTCAAGCTAAAGCTTGAGACTCTTAATGCTAAAGATGATGATGACTTCACTGAAGAATATGCTAGGCTCAGAGAGATCTTAGATATCCTCAATAGAAGAATTGAGAATCTCAAGAAATTTCATATTAAAAGTGACCAAGAACTTTATGTAAAATAAACAAATACTTGAGGATAAGAAGCTGAAAATAGAAGAGCTTAAAGAACAAGTAAAGAATCTACCAAAGAACCCATCAAGATCTACAAGCCGCGATGGCTCAAAAACCATTCAAACAACTATACTATCTACAAATAGCAAACTCACCAGATCTTCCCAGAGAGCACCCCCCAACCCACCACTACCCCCTAAAGAAGACTCTATCCACCTCAAAAAAGTCACATACAACCCACACAGGACCCCTCATGCCACCCCAGTTACCCCAACCCCGCACTCATCCCTAAAATCCAACTAACCCATTCCCACACCTCCTTCTCCAATTCCTACTATCAACCCTCTCACCCATTATCGGGGTTTTGGGGTTTTGGGGTTTTGGGGTTTTGGGG